TGTCAGACTTCTTCATCAAGATCATGAACGATCGGTTTGAGGCCCTTCATGTTCCCGGAGCGAACAGATGCCATTGGGCTACACTAGCACGCGACAGGGACAAATGGAGACGTTACTGGCGCCCGCTCGAGCAAATCGAAGACTAACGGGAAGTTAAGTGATTAAGTGATTAAGTGAAGAAAGATAAGGACTGAAAGTCAAGGACTTTGAGTTCTGCTAGAGTAGATCATGGAACTATGATGACTGGGACTACAACCAAAACTACGACTACGATTGTGCTGTAAGGGGAGAGATCAAACTATGCTGGGGAGGAGAGAGTAATAAACTGACCATCAACCAGACTGTGGCCCTGTTTCTTCGTTCCCCCAGTCCTTCATCTGTTGCTGGTTCTCAGCCATCAAATGCTCAAGTTCTGTGCCCCCCAAGCTTCCTTTTGAAACTCACAGATGGGGATGGGGCAAGATTAGACAATCTAGGTCACTTAGTATTATTCCACAGGGCTATGAAATTTTTCATGTTTCTTCATTCTTTGCTCTTTCTATTCTTCAAACTCCAGCATTTCTATATTGCTCTTTCAAGTTCAGTAACATTTTTTTCCCCTCATTCTGATGCTGAGCTCATCTGATGACATTCACATTTCATTAACTGTCTTTCACAACTATTTCTATTGAGTTCTTTTTTTAAAGTTTCCATTTATCTGCTGTGATTTCCATAAGTTCATTCACAATTTCCTTTAGATCTTTAAAAGATACTTAAAATATCTGCTTTGAAGTGCTTGCTTCCTAATCACAAGATCCAAATCATTTATGGAGATAGTTTCTGTTGAGTGCCTTCATATATTTCTTATATGTCTGACTATTATTGTCATCCATTATTATCATTTGGTTTGGGGGCCACAGGTGCTCAGGACTTACTCTTGGCTCTACACTCAGGGATCACTCCTGTGTGGTGCTCCGGGGACCATATGGAGTTGTGGAGATTGCACCAGGGCTGGCCTCATACAAGGCAAAGGCCTTACCTGCTGTAATATCACTCCAGCCCTTTGTGACTGCTTATTTTCTATTATACATTGAATTTTTATATAACTAGTTCAAGAGACTCTGTACTCTTTTCTGTTTCTTGGTAGAACACTGATTTTAATTCTAGCAGACGTTGGTCTAGGTTCACATGCCATGTTTTGTCTCCAAAAGCAAAAATTATTTAGCTATTTTAAATTCTTCCTCTGTACCCATACCCCCCAACCCCATGCCCTTTCCTTAGTTATGATAATCTGGGGATCCCACACCGGCTCATGGTGCTTGCAAACTTCAGTTGTGGAGCTGCAGTGCTCACACACTCTGCTGAGATGCTCCCTGGAGGTTGTACATTTTAGCTGCAGCATACACACGCTAAGTTGTGCTACTTAGTGTGGCGATCAGACAATATGCTGTGGCACCAGGGATCACAGCAGCATGGCTCAGCCTGCATTCAGCAATGAGGCAATCTGTGGCCTCATGCCTACAAGGCGGGAGCTTGAGCCCCCAGTCCCATCCCTGGGTCCCTCTGTCAGCTGCCCAGCTTAAGTTTACTGTGATTCCAGAAAGATCTTCTAGCACACTTATCATTCTAACCACCACAAATTCGCCACTAACTGACATGCAGGCTGTGTACTTCGGTCCTTTCTGTGGCTCCCTTCTTATATAGTTTCTCCCTAAATTTCTAGATGTTCTTCCCACAGTAAACCAGGACTTCTGGCACCTTAAGGCATTAAACTCAAGTTCCTGGGTTCCCTAGACTACACAAGTTGGGAAATGAACTAAAAAAAAAAAAATACATGCACCCTCAAATCTTTCCCCTGAATGCTGCCATTTTCGTTTAGATTAGTTTTTGTAACTTTGTTTTTGGGAGTTGCACCCCTCTGTGCTGAGGGCTTTTTTCTGGCTCTGTGCTCAAGGATCACTCCCGGTGGAATTCCTGTGAAATCATAATTGGTGCTGGGGACCAAATCGGGCTAGTCTCAACGCAAGGCAAGCACATTAACCTTCATACTATCTTTACTAGCTCTTGGACCCTTCTGCTGCCATTTTAATTGCTTTCTGAGGGGTGGGGGTGGTTTTGGGGTCACATCCAGCAATGCTCAGGAGTTATTCCTGGCTCAGAAATTACACCTGGTGGTGCCTGGTGGACCAGATGGGATGCCGGGGATCGAACCCAGGTCATTATTGTGCAAGGCGAGCTCCCTATCTGCAATACTATTGCTCTGGCCCCAGATGTGGCCATTTTCAAGGAGTATTGGCCAGTTTCCATCTGCTCTCAGTCACTCTCCAGTGCATTGAAATAGTTCTTAAAAATTTTTTTTGTTTGGATATAATAATTACCACACCATATTTGATAGGGTTCAGACAATAGGCAACAAAATCATAGAGAAAAATATATTTATATATGCCTCTTGGAGAGCCTCGCAAGCTACCAAGAGTATCCCGCCCACATGGGCAGAACCTGGCAAGCTCCCTGTGGCATATTTGATATGCCCAAAACAGTAACGATAAAAAGTCTCATTCCCCTGACCCTGAAAGAGCCTCCAATCACTGGGAAAGACAAGTAAGGAAAGGCTGTTAAAATCTCAGGCTGGCGGGGGTATGGTGCCGCCAGCAGGTCAATCTGTACCTGTGAGGCGAGTGCATCAGCAGCCTCATGGCGCCTTCAGACTTCCAGATACCCCAAAATTGCTGCTGTGCCTTTGGCCAGACCCCAAAAACTTGGGGCAAAGTTTACCAAGAAAGTAAACGACCAAAAGTTAGGTATGTGGAAAACACACCCACAAACCACCTCCGGCTCAGCTATATAATTGGAGGCAAGGCCTCTTTGGTTCCTGATTGAACTGCTTAATGGACATGATCCCAGAGACTCAGAAACGAATCTCAGAACCCAGTGGCTTTAGGTAGAAATGCGTCTGGTCTCTGCAGTAGGCTACCGGTGCTGGGCCAACCCAGGTGAGAATAGGTTTCGTGCCTTGGCCTACTCCCCTTGGTGGCCCAGTGGCCGCCATCCGTCTGAGGCCACTGGTTAGTCACATTTGGGCCCCCAGTGACGAGACACACAGGGCCTCACGGGATGAGGGTGGAGCCGGGCTTGTCCTCCCCACCCCAACGAGACCCCAAGTCATCACCCACGAATGGCCTCTCTGGCTCCTGATCAAGCTGCTTAACGGCCATGATCCCAGAGACTCAGAAATAAATCTCAAAACCCAGTGGCGTTTGGCAGAAATGCATCTGGACTCCACGTACGTTACTGTCGCTGGGCCACCCCAGGGAGGAAAGGGTGTTGTCCCTCCGCCTGCTCCCTCTTGGCGACTTGGTGGCTGTCATCCTCCAGAGGCCATTGGACAGTCAGGCTTGGGCCTGCAGTGACGAAACTTGTTGGGTCTCACGGGATTGGGGGTGGAGGTGGAGCTGGGCCTGTCCTCCCCACCCTAACGAGACCCCAAGTCATCGCCCACAAACGGCCTCTCTGGCTCCTCATCAAGCTGCTCAACGGCCTTGATCCTAGAGACTCAGAAACAGATCTTGAAACCCAGCGGCTTTTGTCAGAAATGTGTCCGGACCCTGTAGTAGGTTACTGTTACCGGGTCACCCCAGGGGGGAATGGTTGCTGTCCCCCCGCCTGCTCCCTCTTGGCGACTTGGTGGCTGTCATCCTCCAGAGGCCATTGGACAGTCAGGGTTGGGCCCGCAGTGATGAAACTTGTTGGGTCTCACGGGATGGGGGGGGGGGGGGGGGAGCCGGGCCTGTCTTCCCCACCCCAATGAGACCCCAAGTCATCGCCCACGAATGGCCTCTTTGGCTCCTCATCAAACTGCTCAACGGCCATGATCCCAAAGACTCAGGAGCAGATCTCTAAACCCAGTGACTTTTGGCAGAAATCCCTCCAGATTTAAGTGTTAAAATTTCAGAACTTCAAAACCACATGGCCCTACTGCAGCCACACGACGTCATATGTTATTCATAACCAGCAATAGAACACAAATTGTCTATTGTTGCCTTTTCAGCAGATCTGAGTGTTGGGGTAAAATCTCAAATAGTGGTGGGTCTGGTGTCGAAATAGTGAATGTGATCAAAGTAGAGAGAGAGTAATGTAGAAATAATCTGTCCCACAGGCAGGGGGAGGGTGTGGGATGGGGGTATACTGGGATTTTTGGTGGTGGAGAATGGGCACTGGTGAAGGTACGGGTGTTTCATTGTATGACTGAGACTTAGACCCAAAAGCTTTGTAACTGCTCTCACGGTGATTCAATAAATAAAATTATAAAAAATGGAAAAAGAAAAAAAAAAAGTAAGGTGGAGTTCATGCACAATTCAATCAGCTAATCAGTGGCTGAATAAATAGCAGTACTCCTACAAAAAAAAAAATCTCAGGCTGGGAGGAATAGAGACATTACTGGCGCCTGCTCGAGTAAATCGATGAACAAATTGATGAACAACAGGGTGACAGTGATACAGTGATAATATCTGTATAGGATTAGTCATGAGATTCTCTTTAATGGCATTTGTTCTATTCATCATTCATTTACTTCTGGGGTCCCAAGTGGTGCTCAGGAAGTCCCTGCCCTCAACATGCAACTCCTTGGGCCAGTGGTTCCATGTAGGGCCTAAGGCTGTAGTGCTACTTGAGCCTTTCAGTGCTAGGAGTACCTGGGTCACTACCATGGCGCTGCAGGGGGTGTGGAGGGAGAGAGAGGATTCTCCTGAACTGCATTTGGCTGATGCCAGAGATGCTCTGGGAACCATGTGGTGTTAGGGATTGAAATGGAATTGGTGGCATGCAGGGCATGTGCCTTAACCACGGTACTCTCTCTCTAATCCCAAAGCACCCTGGCAGACAAAACCCTACCTGTATACAAAACTGAAAGAAATCATCCTCAAGAGCCATCTTCGACTTAATTGACATGTTACATGCATATTTTATACCTCCATGAATAATAGACATATCCATGTGTAAATAAGTGAAAATAATGTTCTTACTTTTCTACTGCAGATCGCTTCTGTGATTTGCTTTTGTAATTCAATGCCATCTTTGTTTCCATTCCAGTGTATATGGCAACACCTGCAGAACAAAACGAAAATGGTTTTCAATATGCTAACATGTTCCACAAGAGAAAGGCACTCACTGGTGCAAAAACATCTAAGAAAATATCTAACCAGCTGTTACAATTTGGCTTAGCTCTCTATCTTTTCAGTTTTAAGAGTCGTTTTAATTCCAATTTGGGGTAGCTCCAGTCATTCAACCTGCTTGATTAGCAAATGCATCCCTGATTTTTACTGAGATATCTGGATAAATAGATTGAGTGGGAAATGCTGGATAAATAGATTGAGTGGGAAATACTGGAAGAAACGGATTTGCGAAAAGAGGAAGCCAGGATAGATAGGGCAAGTTTTTGTTTTTCTTTTTCTAGTAGATACACTGAACCTAGGTCATGTGCCTTCAAGACAGACACTTAACCACTGAGCCACAGCAAACGGCATCACCAAAGGTAGAGATAGGACAGCACTTTCTGAAGGGCTGAAAGGAATGGACGAGGATCAGAATTTGTAGTCAAGATAAACCATTTGCATTTGTCTGAAGATTCCAATTCAGTGTTACTTCACAGACTGACTTGCTGTGCAACCCATTTTCACTATTTTAGGAAACTTTTACAACCCCGAATAAACCCTGATGCTCTGTAAGCAGTCGTTTCTCATTCCCCTCCACTCCAGGGCCTCTGGGAACAACTAATTTTTTGTTCTCTTAGGTATTTCAGATTAATGGAATTCCACAATATGTGATCTGCGGTGCCTAATTTCCCTGACTCAACCCCAGTGTTTAAAAGGATTATCCATGGCGAAGTATGTACCAGAATTTTATAAGGGTGAATAATGTTCCATTACATGGATAGGGTACATTTTATTTATTCTTTAATTAGTTGATGGATGTTTGTGGCAGTTTCAACCTATGGACAACTGTGCAGGGTGCTGCTAAGAACACTCTTGTTAAGTCTTGGAACACAAGATCTCAAATCTTTGGGGTGTATCTCTAGGAATAGAACTGCTGGCTCAGATGGTAGTTTTATGTTTAGCTTACTGAGGAAAAGACCAAAAAAGAAAAATGTTTTCCACAATAACTGCAATATCTTATAATCCCACCAGCAATGCACAATGGTGCCAATCCTCCACAACTATGTTAGCTCTGGTTATTTTTGTTGTGGCTGGCATGGTGGGTCTGACCATGCCTCGGTACTGCCTTTTTGGGGACACGGTCAACACCGCATCTCATATGGAGTCCACTGGACTGCGTGAGTGTGAAAGGGGCGGGGGAGGGGGGGAGGTGGAACATGGGATTTTATTTGGGGGCTGAGGGAATAAAGGTCTCCTGATGGGTTTGATCTACCGAGAGTATCTCACTCGCACAGCAAAGCCTGGCAAGCCACCCATGACGTATCTGATATGCCAAACACAGTAACAAGAAAGTCTCACAATGGAGACGTTACTGGGCCCGCTTGAGAAAATCAATGAACAACGGGAGGACAGTGACAGTAATAATGAATTTCTTTATTAGAAAGGCTAATCCTGAGAAGTGAGATATAGCACAGGTAACAGGAATGAGGAGAATAAGGAGGAAGACCCCAAAAGCTGTAGACAGTTGATGATATGCTGCAAAGCATATTCCCAAAATGGGAGGGAAAACTGGAAAGTGAGAAGACTGGTGGTCACTCTCTTATTTTTGGTGGGGTGAGGGGGCTTCCCAAGCAGTGCTCAGGAGGTCCGCGGGCCCCACTGTGCTCGAGGACGTGAAACTGCTCGGGGTCTGCAGTGCTGGAGACACCCAGGTCACCCCAGTGGTGTTGGGGGCCCCCAGGACCACGTTCAGCAATGTTCAGGGGACTGTGTGGAGTTGGGAATTAAACCTGGTTTGGGCACCTGCTAGGATGCCAGGAAAAGGTTCTTCTTCACTTATTTATTTAATCACCATGAGATACACAGTTACAGGCATGACCTGGGTCCAGTCATACAACATTTCAACACCCATCCCTCCATCAGTGTTCCCAGTTTCCCTCATGGTACCCCATCCCCCATGGAGCCTGTTTCTATAGCGGGTACTCTCTCTCTCTCTCTCTCTCTCTCTCTCTCTCTCTCTCTCTCTCTCTCTCTCTCTTTCTCTCTCTCTCTCTCCCCCCCATCCCTTCCTTCCTTTCCTTCCTCCCTCTCCCTCTCCCCCCTCCCTCCTTTTGGGCATTATGGTCTGCAATGCAGATACTTAGAAGTTATCGTGCTTGCTCCCTCACCCACTTTCAGCACACAGATGTTATCCAGAGCAACCATTTCCAACTATCTTTGTCCTCGTGGTCCCTTTCCTATCCCAACGGCCCTCCGAAAGGTTATTCTTGACTTTGAATTACAAAACTTGATTACTAGGCAGTGGCAGAAGGGCAGAGAAACGAAGAGGTGGGGGCTAGAGGTGACTGAGGGAGCGTGGTGGAGGGTCTTGGGCACTTTGGTGCTAGTGGGGTACCGTAAATTGGCATATCAACTCCATAAAGGTTAAGGCGATAATAACCGTGTTACAGGATCTATAGTTTTAAAAAATGGGGCTGGGGGAGAAAGCAAAAGGTCTTTATCAACATGCCAATTTACCTAGAGTTGATTCAGATCACAGTGAGCTGATTCACATTACTAATGGAAGGACACTATTCATTCACCCTGTTGATCCAGTCATACAGTCCCTCCCTGGCACACAGTCAACGAAACTTTGTTGATGAATGAATAAATGAACATTGAGCCAGCAGTTCTATAAATTCAATCTAAGAAAATCTGTAATGCAATGATACAGTGGGTTTACTGCACTATCTTAACATGACTCCAGATACTGGTTTCCACCCACCATTACTAGAAGTACCAGAATTATCTTCTGAACATTCAGTTTCACAAGTATCAACAGGGAGATTGTAAACCAAGCCTCTAATTTGTAGTATTCCAAAATAGAAGTCAACAACAACAAATTTCGATATAAAACTGTATTAGCACTGGGGCTGGAATGATAGCACAGCTTGCACGTGGCTGACCCGGGTTCGCATCCCAGCATCCCAAATGGTCCCCTTTACACTGCCTGGAGTGATTCCCAAGTGCAAAGCCAGGAGTGACACCCGAGCATCACCAGGTGTGACCCAAAAAGCAAACACATAAACAAACAAAAATCTGTATTAGTACAATCTTTGTTAGAAAATTATTATAGACAACACGTAACTAAGTAGTAAACTGTCCAACCAAAAGACCACAATGCTTCACTTTTATTTATTTATTTGGGGCAAAGATAGAGACTCCCAAGTGGTGCCCAGAGGCCCAGGAAGTTAACCTGTAGTAATTCTTATAAGTACCACGTGCTCACCCACTAGCTTTGGTAGTGGCACCACTGGAGCCACAGAGTAATTCTTGGCCAAATGGAGGACCCTGATATGTGGAGGGTACAGGGTCACACCTTGCAATGCTTGGAAGTCTCCAAAAGTTCCCTCTGGCAATGCTTAGGGGACAGTGCAGTTCTGGGCACTGAACTGGGGTTGGAGACAGACAGGGCCTGCACTTTGACTCCTGTACTATTTCTCCAGCACCCACAATGACATAAGTGTAAAAATGCTGCATACAAACAATCAACATGAATCTATAATTTAAAAGTTTCAATATATACCAACCAAAAATTTCTTTTGTGTTTTTTAACCTGGCCCCACGAAGCAAGAGACTCTCTGGCCCCAGTGGTCTAGGAAAAACAAAAGAAAGAAATACAAAAAACATTAGCTATATTGAAATTTCGATTCAATTTGCAGTGTTATTTTCAAAAGGTTCCTGGAGCTATAGTCAAAACATGGCTTTCATATAAAAGCCAAATCTCAGCTGCTAAAAAGCTATCTAGACGTACCTTGATGTTAGTCATAGGGAACAACAAATGCCCACTTTTGAGATAAATGGCTCAGAAGTAAGATTACGCTTGTAAATAAACTAATAAGGCTACCAGCTTAAGTTTTGTTTATAAATAAAATACAACAGAACCAAAGGTAACTAATTACTTAAAAAATGTTTACCAGCAGATGAAATTCTGAACTTTGAGCAGTATTAATAAGTTTTTCAAAAGTAAAATTAAATTATAAGAAGTATTTCAAACACATTAAGTTTGGCACAATTAAAGCTAAACTCAATTATAAAACATATTGTAGCGAGTTAGTGCTTTTTCTAGGCAAAACCAAACTACAACTTCACTACTTGCACTGTATACTTCTTGGAGCATGGATCTTTTTGTTGTTTGAGTTGCCCTCCTTAAAGGAGATATAAAACAAGAAGGAATAATCAGAAAGAAAAATTGAATCCAATAAATCAAGAAGGATCAGTTATTTGGGATATGACTAAACAGGATGGTTTTTTTATTAAACAAATTCCATGGATATTCCAAGGTACTTTCAGGAGCCACAAAATAACTCTTTTTGACTGAGTGCTAGTTCTGACAGTAATATAAAACGATGAGCACACACTGACATGTAAAGTTGGGATATAATCATAGAAAACTTCAAATTAAAACACAGTTCAATTTACTCAGGATAATTGAGCAAAGAACACAGTTCAGTTTTTACTTTTATTCAGCATCTTTTCTTTCCTTTTTTACTTCAATTTTTAAACTATTTTTTCTTTCCCAGAAAAATCTCAGTGCAATTCCGACTATGTGTAGCTATGTACATTCCACCAAAGAAATAAAAACAAAGACTACTCATAGTTATTCAGCCAGGGTTTTATACTTACAAAGATCTCTACAGAATTTACTGACAGCTATATTTAATGTTAATATAATTAATACTTGCTGAAACATTAATCAGTATTAGTAGTAGTCAGTTTGCTATTTGGGGTGACTTGTTTTGAGCATTTCATTTTTAAAATGCTCATCTTTAAAATTTGTGACTTATTTCATGCAGTCAGTATAAAGTGAGCATGTCTCCAGAAAAATGCTATTCACTCATGAAGTCTGGCTTTTTCAAACCATGTTTTCTTTCTCTTTCCCTTCCCCTCCCCTCTCCTCCCTCACCTTTCCTTCCCCTCCCTCCCACCTTCCCTCCCTTTCTCTCTCTCCTCCCCACTAAATTTCTTTCAATAAAAAATATTTTGCTCTTGGAATCTTGACCTTGTAGACATGAATAACACGACAATTATATCAACATATCCTACAAGTGTATCTTTGAAACTATAGAATCTCTTATGTAGAAACTAGGAATTAAGCTAAGGAAACCAATTAAAACAACAACTAAACCAACAAGCAAAAAAAAAAAAATCAGAAAAATAAATCAGGGTTCTGGGCTAGGTACCAGAATCTCTAGTTTGTGACGAATGATTCTGAAATGGAGATTGTAACATTTATACTTGTTAGGAATTATAAAACACTTTTACCTTCTAAGCTTTATGTGTGGTAGGCTTAAAAGTATATGACTTTAAGAATTTCTTTTTGTTGTTATTTGGGGTGACTCTTTTAAAAAGAAACAATAACACAAAAATATAAATCATCTTACTACATTATCTTGGCATCATTTCATAAGATTTGTTTCATCCATGCTGCTACTACAAATTTTGGAAAAACTGAGAGAATAAAATATGATACCTTTCAATTAACATTTTCCAATCATTTTCTGCTTACTTACCCCTAATTTCCATTTAAAGTGGAAGTTTAAATGGAAATTAGCCCTTTCCATAAACAATTCCCACTTATGTGGATAAGGTGAATTTATTCTTACCTTACAATTTCTTCCATATGTTGTGTTATTATCATTCGTCCCATGAATCTAACAAAGAATTCACCATGTTAGAAAAAAAATCATCAATGATAAATGATTTAGAACATTAATGGATAGATTTTAGATAGTTTTAATACTATTCATATACATGAAATTAAAGTAACCTTTCGTATATATGAAGGTATATGCATGAACTCAAATTTCAAACTGGAAATCATTAAAAATACTTAGAATTCACTTAAGCTTTAAAAATATTTTTTGCAGGGCTGTAGCGATAGTACAGCATGTAGGGCATTTGCCTTGCATATGGCCAACCCGGGTTCAATACCCAGCATCCCATACGGTCCCCTGAGCAAATCCCTGAGCACAACCAGGAGTAATCTCTGAGCACACAGCCAGGAATAATCATCATATGTGACCCCAAAAGCAAGGGAAAAAAAAAGCCATCAATTCAGCTAAGAATGAAATAATAAAAAAATAATTTAAAAAAGTTTTCAAAATTTCAATGCACATGTTGTGTATTATTACTTCTATTAGTTTGGTCATGATGAGAACTGATAATTTTCCAAAAATAAATTTTCACACATTTCATAAATTATTCACTCTATAATTATTCACATTTAATTTACATTCACCCAATGAACAAGTACTAAGCACTACTATGGATGAGTTAAGTGAATGGGACAGAATAGTAAGCAAAACAACAACAACAACAAAACCCAAAAAATTCCAATGAGATAAGCTTCTTTAACTTTTGATTACTTGAAATCTAGAGTGAGGAGGCTGTTGACAAAATAAGATTTTCAGAGCCTCTCAGTTCCAACTTCACTACCAAAACAGCTCCATAACATGAGTCAATTCAAATGGACACTCTTAGTTTTCTACAACAGTGAGAAATAAATAATTCAGGGCCAAAGCAGATTCTAGACAGAGCTTCATTTTAATTATGTACACAGAAAAGAAACAGTGAACATTCTCTCACACATTCCCTTCCCCATTATTTCCCTATGGCCCTTGGTTTTCCCGGTTCCAAGTGATTTCTTCTTGTAGACTCCGGAATCACTGTTGTCTACTAAACCCCTGTTTACTTCAGTTCTGTGGATTGGGCAGAAATCCTGTGTTTTGTTTTATGACAACTTTTTAATTCCTTTTTGCTGTTGTTGCTGCCAGTTGGGGGCACACATGCTCTGGGCTCCCGGGGTCAAACACTTGTTGAGATTCTCAGGTACTCGTTTGCAGTGTGCCAGTGACAACATTCACAGTGCCAGGGTTCAAACTCATGGCACGAACACTAAGCTAAAGTCTCAGAGCCAGTTTTTCTTTTCTATCCTTCCTTCCTTCCTTCCTTCCTTCCTTCCTTCCTTCCTTCCTTCCTTCCTTCCTTCCTCCCTTCCTCCCTTCCTTCCTCCCTCCCTCCTTTCCCTCCCTCCTTTCTTTCTTCTTCTTTTCTTTTCTTTTTTTTTTTAAATACAACTACTTGATCAAATTTATGCAGTATGTGGTTCCAGTTCCAAGCTCAACTTTAGATTTAGATCCAAAACATCAATTCAGCTGATGTCACCCAGGCTTTTTTTCAGAGCTGACATGTGAACATATCCTGAGCTAAATTTCAGCAGGAAGGCCATATTCTATGGCTTCGGTAGAGCATCTGTCTGCCTTGCACGTATATGACCCTGATTTAACCCCTGGGACTGCAAAAAAATAAGAAATGTAATTAAAAAATTCCATTAGGATGCCTGTTTTCTTTCATTTTACGTCCTGAATTATGTCTGTTCAACTCTTTTATTCTGTCGATTCAAATTCTAAACTGGATTAATTTAATAAAACAAACAAACACTGTCCTCCCATTGTTCATCGATTTTGCTCGAGTGGGCCCAGGAACATCTCCATTTTGAGACTTGTTGTTACTGTGCTGGGCTAGAGTGACAGCACAGCGGTAGGGCGTTTGCCTTGCACGCAGCCAACATGGCCGACCCGAGTTCGATTCCTCCACCCCTCTCGGAGAGCCCGGCAAGCTACTGAGCGTATCTCGCCCGCACAGCAGAGCCTGGCAAGCTACCTGTGATGTATTCGATGTGCCAAACACAGTAACAACAAGTCTCACGATGGAGACGTTACTGGGGCCGCTCGAGCAAATTGATGAACAACGGGAGGACCGTGACCGTGTACTGTGTTTGGCATATTGAATATGTCACGGGTAGTAGGATTAATTTATCTTATTAATTTATTTTGTACTTTTCATCACCCTTAATCCAAATCCACACTTCTGCTCAAACTTAAAACAGCTTTATTACATTGTTCTGATTATAAAGACTATGCATGCACATTTTGCAAAATGATACAGACAATATAAAGTCAGAGATCAGCGCTGGGTAAACTGACCCGAAGCAGGGATGTGGTGAGGATTTAAAAAAAAGAGACAGAAATAAGAGATTAAAAAGGCAGGGCTCTCAGAACCCCACCCACTGAGAGCCAGCCGGGAATGCCTCCACGGAGAATATTTCTTGCTTACAACCAGTAATCATCAAAAGGAGAACAACAGTCTTGTTTGGTCAGGTGCCTGAGTATCTTAATCTATCCGGGCTAGACTTCCACAAATCTGAGGGCCTTAGTTTATCGGTACAAACATCTTTGTAGTTTGTCGTGGGCTTTCTCTAGCAGAGATTCTTCCGGGAGAGGAAGAGAGCAGTTAACAGGACGCCCTGCTGAGGAAGCATTCCACCTGGCCTTGCCTCTGGAGCCAGTGGTCTGGGTTGAAAGGTCCCATGAGCTACCCACGCTGTCCTTTTCCTTGATTTATCTAATCCCCAGCAAGTGACATCAATGGGGAAATAATAATCCCTCGTAAATCCACTACTCAAACACAAGTGAATATCATGGGGTCTGTTTTCCAACCGATTTTCCATTCTCATATGAATGTATATCTTAAAAAATAAAAATAAGAGCCTTATCACGGTGGCAGAATTTCCACCATCTATCACTTCTTGCCAAAACCATAGGCTTGGGCCAGAGCCGGGGCAGGTGGTAGGTAGTTGCTTGCCCTGTACTCCCAGGACCACCAGGGGCCACTCCTGAGCTCCTGAGTGCCAGAGTGTGCCCAAGCAAAACAAAAACAGAGGTCTACATGAATATTTTTGAATGGACACACAGAATTGCATTCTGGGCTTACTGCATATTTGTTTAAATGAGTCACCACTGTAGGAAGTTTAGTTCTCTTCCAACTTATAGAGAGCCTAAACAATACAGCCTTCTTTGTTACACATGAATCTTCTGTATTCATTAAAATAAATTCCTAGAATTTCCTGGGTTGTTTTTTTTTTTTGTGTGTGTGTGTGTGTATGTGTGTGTGTGTGTGTGTGTATGTGTGTTGGCGGGGCAGGGGGGTTGGGGGGAATAGGAAAAATTATATGTTGAATCAGATCTAAAACATAAAAAGATAAAAGTAACAGGTGGTGGTGATGATGGTGGGACAAATAAAGGAAAAGGGACCCCAGACCAAGCACAGGACAGGGGTTAAGACACTTATCTTTCGTGTGGTTAACCCTGGTCTGGTCCCTGATACCACGTGGACCCCCAAGCACTCTCAGGAGTCACTCTTGAGCACAGAGCCAGGAATAGTCTCTGGGAACTACTGAGTGAGGTTCACACAATGAAAAAAAAATTTTTTTTTTTAAAAAAACCTAAAGGAACAAAGGAGTTAAGGAAACTGGAGACTACTGTGAAACCGGCATCTGCCAGAAGCAGTTCCTGAACAGAAGGCTCTCCTGCTTCATTTCTTCAAAAGGCACAGACTATTTCTTACATACATTTGCTATTAGAGTTTAGGCTATTAAATAAGCTACTAACTATCAGAGTGTAAAAGGAATAATGGAATCCCAATTAAAAACTGGGAAAGAACTGATAATATTTAATGGTGAAAAATCAAACAAAAATGTCTAACCTTTCCAATGAAAATAAAACTAGAATTTAGAACTATAAAACCATTATCCAAAAAATCAGAAAACTATTTAAAAGAGTAATATTTAAGACTAGAAAAAAAATTTTGTTTTTGGCTATACCTGATGGTGTTCAGAGGCTATTTCTGGGCCTGTGTGCAGGAGCACCCTTGGCAGTGCTTAGGGGACCACATGCGGCCCTTAGGATTTGAAACAGGGTCACAGTCGTTGTTACCACATGCAAGGAAGTGCCTTACCTTCTGTATTACCTCTTAAGTTTAGTAAAATCTCTTAAATGCATAGAAGTATACTTTGTCATGACAATAAAAATCAGTCCAATGCTTTTGCAAAGTCACGTCAGTATTTCACTAAGATCTAACTCCATGAGAATTTAATCTACTTCCATATCTCTTACTTGTTCTTTAGCGGTCACCTAGCACAAGACTATACACTCTAAGATAAAGAATTTATCATAGTTTCTTTCGTCCCACTTTCCAGAAGTATTTAGAATCTACTGAATACATGGGTAATAAACATGTTATGTATCATTTGAAATCCTTACCATTCATATACTCACTTGACAGATATTGTCTACCATGTGTCTGGTATAATTCCTAAAACTTCAATTTAATAGCTAAATAAACTATATACATACAAAATCTGCTTATGTATAAAAACTTCCATTTAATCACTGTATTTAATATGTACACATAAATTCTGCTTATAGAAAGTAGTTCAATAAAGGAAAAATTTGGCACATAAAATTAAGTAAAGATAAGTAACTTTTCAATATTAACAAAGACATACTAAGATCTCCTAGGACCAGTTCTGACCTATGCACTTGGGCTCTATAATGAACAAAACACACAAGGATGAAGTGACATTTGAGTGGGAGAGAGAGTAAGCAGTAATACAATAGGTAAATAACAAAGTGCATGTTATGAAAAAAAGAAAGCAGAATAGAGTTAGGGCTTAGACAGCAACATCAGACAAGATCTCACTGGGGAAGTGATTTAAATAAGAACTAAAGAAGTTCGGTAAGATACAGTTAGGAGAAAAGGTATGAGTGGATATGGCATATTTAAGGTAAAACAGGTACACCCAGAAAGCTGG